TTTTTCCAGCCTTTCCCCACACAAACACCAACATTTCGCTCCCAGAAATCTGCCAAAATAATCGATTATCCTTGTTAATAATCGATTATCATTCCTCCATCAAAACACCTGCATGCGTCATTAATCGATTATCACCCTCGGCAATCGATTATCATACATCAAGGGAAACTCCTGCAGTCCTCTATAATCGATTATCACCATACTGATAATCGACTATCAATCCCTCCAAAAAATCCAAGAAACTGCAGCATCAGACAATCGATTATCTAAGATAGACAATCGATTATCCTCTTGTCCTGAAATCAAAAGGCGTTATTTCTTGAGTTTGCGCTTATTACCGGTAAACCCGGAGTTTAGATATAACAAGTTGTTTTCTCTTTTCTTTGTTGAGTGTCATGAGTACGACATACATGTTCTCTTTCGAGAAAGGATATACGCGGGTGATAGATGTAACGTGTTTGAATTTCTTTCATGAAGACTTGCGTTGAATATACTCTTAGACTTGCTCTTGCCATGTTGTAGGAGTTTTCAGGAGTTCTTGTATGGGTTGCGTTTCTTGAATGTGGGTTAGTTTTAAAAAATTTCTTTTTGAAATTCTTCTAGAATCATTCTAAGACGACTTTGTCTGGAATGTTAATTTCACAAATTATGCTTCGTTGTTTACAATCTGGAATGAATTGTACTCCTTTTTAAATCTGCTGGTACTCATTGTCATACATAATAGTTGTCATATATATATGTTCTTAGACATTGGATAAAAAGTTTGCAAAATTTACAAAAATACCAGGCTGTACCTAAAGGAAGGTACAGCTGGATGTACCATATTCGTCCACTTTTGACTTTTGGAACTGTTCATCTAAACACTTGGACTCGTCAAATTTTCTCAATGTGTAAGCCTAAATATAGTCATGTGTGATCTTGTTTGATTTGTCTTTACATATAGATCATTAATATATAATTTCTATAATTTTTAATATAAAAATTACAAGATAAAATGGATTAAAGAAGTGTATTGGATGGTGTGCAAAAATGAAAGTGGACAAATACTCTGGGACGGAGGGAGTATGAGTTTTGATATCCCTAGATATCCTAATCCTTTTTAGGTGTTTGGTGTAGCCAAAAGAGTTATCAAATTTAATATCTCCAGATATCATAAATCTTGAAATTGGATGGTCTCAATATCTCCCGAATTTGGGAGATATCAATATGGGGGTTTGATATCTCTCTCTCAATTGTTGATCATTCTTCGCCACTCGCTACCATTGTCACTTTCAACCACTCCCGTTGTCATCCACCCTTGTTTATCACTTGTTAAATCTTGAATTTAAATCTCTCCAAATAAAATCATTTCGGATTACAAAATCCATATAATTTCTCTGAGTGTTCATAACCCACATCTTATAATATCTTCAAAATTCACCAATTTGGCCCTAAGTAATTAATAAGATATTTCTTCACTTCTAAATAAATTTCATATTTTATATGATATATTTAAATCAAAGCAGTCAGTTTCATTATATTTATTAAAATATTCATGTAAGTTAATAAACAAAAAACTTATTTAATTCTACAATGAAACTTTATAAAACATGAGAACTTTAGACAATAAATTGTTAAACAGGTAAAATATATTAGGTATTATTTGTTTTTAGTCCCTGAAATATAAATTTTGTTTGAGTCATCCTTACAAAAAGTTTTATTTTGATAATGATCTTTATACGCAATAAAGACTTTTAAGTTGTTGACATAACATATTTATTTTGTACTCAATAGTTTAGTTTTAGATTTGTAATTACTTCACACACAAATTTAATGCCAATAATTGTGTCTTTTATCAAATTGCGTTTCCAATTCTCAAATTTTGATTATATTATATTCGTAAGAAATTTGAGAGCCGGATATATGTAATATGAATAAGTACACAATTTAGGGTTTAGATATTGGATCGGATGTAATTAGAAATACTTAGAAGTGCTAATTACGTTAAGGACTATTTTCAAATTAAAATATTTTGTAGGGATGACTTTACAAAAAACATTTTACAGGACTAAAAACAAAAATTTCTTATTTTATAGGGTATAAAAACATATTTAAACCTATTTTTATTATATTATAAAATACAAATGAATAAAACAAAGTATATCGTTGGGACTTATTAGATTACACTAACATTATTTATGATTTTATTATCATTGAGTACATTTAATTAAGAAAGATAGATATTTATTTTTCATTAGAATATTGTTTTAATTTTTTTTCATTTATAATAATACTTTCAATGAATATATAAACTACTCTCTTCATCTCCAAAAAAATTTCATATTTCTTTATGTTATGATTAAGGGAAGTTAGTTTTATTCTATTTATTTAAATATTGATGTAAAATAACAAATACTTCTTAATCACTATATTAAAATTCTATATATTAAGATGTCTCGATTATTTTTTTTAAAGGATCAAGTGTTTAAACAAAATTACTTAGGAGGAATATTTAATTTGACTTTTGTACTTTATCTTGCTAATTTGACCTATTAGTTTAATCAAAGAAAGTTTACACTGTAACTTACAATTTTTTAAGATGTAACTTAGCATTTATAAATTTATATTAGGTGATAATTCACTATATTGATGCATAAAAATAAAAAATACGGATGAAGTATGACTCGATTTTCTTTTTGTCATTTTTGTAATCATACAAAGAAATTCAACAAAATGATATTCTTAGAGATAAAGCGATATAACATAGACTTTCACAAAAAAAATTTCTATAAGGAAAATTAAGATCTGAAGGCCGGGAAACGCATGAAGATATGTGGCAATTAAAATTTAGATGCAAGGATAATCAATAATTTAAGGAGAAGTACGAAGAAGATCTAATGTGCAGAAATGAATAAGATTTAGGCTCAACTACAACATCAAAGAGAAATATAATTTTTAAATTGTAACTCTTTGTATTTTATAAAACATTATGTATTGACAAAAATACTTTCACACACTTAAAAGATTTTATATTTAAAAAAGAAAGCAAAAAAATGAGTAAAAATTGTGAAATAGTTTTTGTAAAATTTTCATTAAAATCATAGAATCGCTAATGTTTTTTTGTGTTCAAATAATTTTTGAAATAACACGAGGGAGAATAATCATTATATTTTTAATGTATTGTAAAATTTATATTTCTTATCATATGACTGTTAATTTATGTTTTCATACTTTTAGTAATACAAGAAAAAGAAGTCAATTTTTTATCAGTGCAAAGGGCCAAGGAGAGGAAGAATCACATTAATGCGTCATAGAAATTAAAATCATATATTTTCGTTAATGTAAATTAATCTGGCGGGGAAGAATCATTATTTTTTAATATTAAAATTACAAGATCGAAAATTTAAGTTTGTTAAATAAATGCGGGGAGAAGAATAATAAAATCACTAATGTTTTTTTCGTATATTTTTTGAATTAAGGGGTGAGAAGAATTATATATTTGTAATAATTTAGTAAACCTAGATTATATATATATTTATATATATATATATATATATATCTATATAGGGCCGGTTCTTGTGAGAATGCCCCTTGTGGAGAGAAATGAGAATAAAATCTAGGCGTTGGATCTGATGCATCGTGCGGCTCAAATTGCATCATGCGCTCAGATTTTGAGATAGTGCATTTTCAAATGATTTTGGTGCATTTTGACGTGATGCATTTTAAAACCATTTTGGTGCATCTGATTTTGATGCAATCCTGACCCTTATATCTCATAATCTAAAGCACCATATTCATTCTCATTTCTCTCCCAAGATCGCATTTTCACCAGAACCAAAATATATAACATAAATGGTATCAAACATAAAAACATCAAGTTGTTTAAAAATTTGATATTTTACAATAAAAAACAATTTTGTTTCACCCGTGCATGGCACGGGTTAAATATTAGTCCTTTAATATCAAATTTGAGAGTTGACGGTTTAGAATTTTGACACGTGGCACTTTAAGAATTCTATTTTTGAGACATGTAATACTCCACGCGTCCCTTCTTCGCTTCTCCATGGAAATCGCCAGTTGTCGCTTTAGGAAATTCAGTCAAACCATTTAAGAGAAAAAAAATTCATGTTGGGAAAAATATTAAAGATTTTGATGATTATGTATTTAGATTGTAATAGGGACTTTAGGTCACCCCGAATATTCAATGTAATTTTTCTTTTTAGAAATATTGTTAAAACTGAGTTCTTGAGATTCCCAATAAAGTTGTGATATTTCACTCTGTGGTTTGATGTCAATCTTTGAAGACTTAATCAAATTCAATGATATGGAAAATTGGAATTCTTGATCGGGAATGTCAAAGAAGGGTAAGGAATTCTCAAAGCAGTTGGTTACTTTGAAGATTGTCGAATTCGGAATACTCCATGATACCCGGATGTCTCACAACAACCCGCTGAAGGCTAAGTCATCTGGATTGGAAGACTAGCGCGGATTTCATTCTCACTTGGAAGTCTAAGAATGACTAATCTGGAACTGTCAACCAAAGAACCGGATGTCTCAAGGAAGACCGGAACTCTTAGAAGCAAACAAGTGAGAAAAGACTTCGAAATTTATCTAAGTCATGAATGAAGAAATTCTACCCGTTGGTAAGGAAAAATCAATCTCTTGATTTTCAATGGCTAGATTGAGGATATTTAAGCTGATTCAAGAACAAATGACATGAAGACAAAGTCCGGACTTCTCAAATTGAAGAGCTCGCCTAGAATTCCTAAACAAACACAACAAGACGTACAAAATGAGTACTCCACTCAATAAAGAGCTACAGTCCAGAATTCTTCAACAACAGCTAAAGGACAAAAAATGAATCCTTCTTCAAACAATTGGATATGTCCAAACACCCATTCCAATCAAGAACCCTCAATCTCACTTCATTCAAATTGAAGCCAGCAAATGCAATGGATAGTCTATTCCCTTCAACGGATAGATTAGTCATCTAGCTATATATAGCTTTCATGGAAGATTGGAGAAAAAAGATGAGATAACGAACAAAAACTACAACAACAACAGACTAAAAATATCTCATTCACAGTTAGCCAAAAAGCTTGATAAAGAGAGATTTTTAAACTCCTTATCCAGAAGCAAACTTCTTCCCTCCTTCCAAAGAGCTATAGTGTAAACACTTGAAGGTTTCCTTGCCTCAAGTACCACACCACGTTGAAGGATACAACTTTTAATCAAACTTCTTGATTAAAACGGGGTACATCAAATTTTCTACAAGTTGATCTTGCAAGTCCTATTGTTCGGACCTTGCAGTTGTTGAAGAAGCGTGACCTTCGAAGGAACAACAAAGCCAGCACGAGTGTTGTAGCAACATTGGCCTTGCGAAGATATACTGTGCAGAAATTCACACAAGTGTAATTCTTGGTTCATTATTCAACAACCAACTACATAATGGATTTTGAGGACGTACAAGGATTACCCCACCTTCGAACCTCGTTAAAGTTTGCGTGTCTCTCTCTTTTATCTTTACTCATACTTGCTCTTATATTAACTGTGAAACTAACCCATCCATATTGATTACTGCTCTAATAACCCACCAACTTCCGCGCACAATCTAAGTTCACAAGAACTTTAGATTAACACTCATTTTCACGTTTTCAAAAGATACGAAAAAGATTTTAAATTTGTAACAAAGTCTATTAAACCCCCCCCCCCCCACTAGACTTTGTATCTCACCACTTTGGGACCACCAATTCAACGGGTAACATGTAAATTATTATTACCCAAATCAAACAGATACAACAATGTCAAAAGCTTAACCACAAAGGTGGTTACTTGCTTAAAGTTACAACTATACACATAAAGAAATTACAACTCAAGTGTAACACATACAAATACAAACAAGTACAAATACAAACACAATCTAACCAAGACCAAGATTAGAAGGTTGCCTTAAAACAGTTAAAGGCGAAACAACATCATCCAAAAGAGGCATACTCACGGGGTATGGACCACATCACAGGCAAAACCAGAGCGAGTTCATGATGTCAATGGCATCAAGTGTGAATTTGGCAAGAAGCATCAGGAGAAGCATCAGGACCGAACCACATTACATACATAAAATCATAGGACCCAACACCACAGCACCACAGTTCCATGTAAAGCTAGCCAGGTAGAAGACAACGATGAATAACCATTGATGTAGCATAAGGTTGGAATATTTTATACTGCTCCACCTTGGCTATAGGCTTAAAATCAACTTCACAGCAGGGGCAAATCCTTCAGAGGCTCAGGAGCACCAAAGGACCATTTGCTGACTAAAACAGTCAAACCTGTCTCACACAAATGAGGTAAGGTGGAGTCCACTCAGGCAGTGATGGCACTCCATCCTTGGCTATAGGCTCAAAGACAACTTCACAGTAGGGGCAGATCCATCAGAGGTTCAGGAGCACCAAAGGACCTTTTGCGCTGAATAAGACCAAGTCAAACCTGTCTCACACAAATGAGATAAGGTGGAGTCCACTCAGGCAGTAGGTGATGGCACTCCACCCTGAGGAGAGGGTTCTCAAAACAAAGGCAGAACCAAGCTATCCAGATCACACACACAAATATCCAAGGGGAAAACCATAAAGGAGGGGGAAATCACACCAGTTTGCAGTCGCTCAACCAAAAGAGGGGTATAAGTGAGTGCACTATGGTGTGTTTCCAGAGACAGAAGAAAGGGGGTGAAGTTTCTGAAGGAAGCAAAGGAGGGAGAGGAAGCAAGAGAAGGAAGAAGGGGAGAGAGGGGGGGAGAAAGAGAAGAAGAGGTGTGGAACACCACCAAACCAGGACCCAAATCCACCTCTACCTACCCAGAAGGGGTTAGTAGAGGTTGATTTGTTTCCTCACCACCACAACAGTCCATAGACCAAAGGGGCCCCAACCCACCCAGCACTGGGGGAAAGCCACACCAACTTTCAGACATCAAAACAAAGAAGGTTTGGATGAATGAACCTTAGTGTGTTTCCAGAGTCAGAAGAAGGGGGGGATGAGAAGGAGGACCAAGGAAGGAGGGAGAAAGCAAAGAAGAAGGAAGAAGGGGGGAAGAAAAGAAGGGAGATAGGGTGAAAACCCACCAACCCAGGATCCAAGCCATTCCCTACCTATCCAGAAGGGGTAGATAGGGTATGGTTTGTTTCCACACCCCAATAGCACCCAAACTATCAGGAACCCAACCACCCAGAGGGAGAGGGGCCAAGTTAAACTAACAGGCATCAAATCTGAAGAATGATTTGGCACATGTTATTTAACTTGTCTCCTAGATAAGTGGGAGGAGAAGGAAGGTAGTGGATAAGAAAAGAAGGGGAGGGGGGGAAGGAGAGAGAGAGAAAGCCCTGGACCCAAGCCAGTCTCTACAATTCCAGAAGCGGATTGCATAGCCTGGTTTGTTTCGCACCAACCCACCACCCCAAGGACCCATAACAAGGGTTAGAGACCCTCCAGGAAGGGTTTCTAACATTTGGAATGTTTCCAGCCCCAAAGATCTGGACTTAGGGATAACACCAGTTACCCAAAGGGTCCCTAGTGTTATTCCTGTGTCCAAGCTCCAACCAAGGTAATAGTCCCAACCAATCCTCAACAAGGAAAGGGAGGGGCCAGCACAAAGATCACAAACAGCTTCCAGGAAGTGTCCAAACAGTAAGCTCCAAGGAGGGGGGGCCAAATTAAACACCATTGGGGTATAATCTATTCATAATTTTAAAAACCCCCAACTTGATCTTGCACACAATAGCATCAATGTTGATGGCCTGGTTGTCAAAGTACACACCATTCCTAAGTCTCCAAATGTGGTAGGCTATGCTAAGAATAGTCAGCCTTATCATCTTCCTCCTAGAGCAGTGGTTATTCCTCAGCCTCCTTAGCCAAGTAAGGGCTCTGTCCAGAGTAGACAAGGCAGGTGCAATCTCAAGCCATGATCTGACAGCATTCCAGATGAGTGTGGAGGCTTCACAGATTAAGAAAAGATGCTGGGCAGTTTCCTCCTCCTTGTGGCAAAGTTCACATGTTTTGTTCTCCATGGCAATGAAATGAAGGCTAGTTTTGGTAGGAATTCTGTTACGAAAGATCAACCAAGCACAGAAGAAATATCTGGGTGGGATGTAAGGTTTCCAAATTGCCTGCATCCAGGACCTCATCACTGCCCTGGTTCTAAGTAAATCATATACCTTGGCAGCTGATATATCACCCAATTCACAAAGCTGGTTTTCAAGTTCCCATCTGTCCCCACACTTGAGTAGCAACAAGTCTCTGATTTCAACCAGTTTCTTGAAAAAATGAGAGTCCTTTTTCCCAGGGCCCCATGTCCAAAAGTCATTGCCATCAAGGTAAACAGAATGAACCCATTGCACCCAAAGGGTTTCCTTGTTAGAGGCAATATTCTAAAGATTCTTGCTCAATAGTGCCTGATTCCAAATCATGGGCTGATTCAGTCCAAGCCCCCCTTCATCCTTGGGTTTACAGATGTCCTCCCAAGCAACCTTACAGAACTTGCTCCCCCAAAGAAAAGTTCTACAAAGGGAGGTTATCCTATCCAAGACAGACTTATGAATAGGGAAGGCTTGAAACCAGAACCCCTCAATTCCTTGAATAACAGCTCTGATGAGTTCCAATCTACCAGCAACATATAGGGTTTTGGTATTCCATTTTCTGATATATTCATCCACCTTAGTCACAAGTGGGGCAAAGTCCCTTTCAGAAGCTCTCTGTGAGGGAGTCCCTGGTATCTAACAGGCAGTTTACCCTAAGGGAAAGACACCAACGCTAAAATATCCTCTTTCTTGTCCTTGATCTCTCCAGCCAAAAAGATATTGGACTTGAGAGGGTTAACATGCAAGCCAGATACTTGGGAAAAGATTTTGATAGCTTTAGCCAACACATTGACAGAATCCACATTACCCCTGCAAAACATCATCACATCATCAGCAAAGGTAACATGAGTAATACCCAGTTTGGAGCACCTGTAGTGAAAAGTGAATCTGCTCCCATAGAGCATTCTCCTGATCAGCCTTGAAAAGTATTCCATGCAGAATAGGAACAATGTTGGGGCCATGGGGTCACCCTGTCTAATGCCTCTTTTACATTTAATAAAGCCATGCAAGCCTCCATTAATAGAAAGTGAGAAGGATGCAGTGGTGACACACTCCATGACCCAGTTCACAAACTTGGAGGGAAAGCCAATTCCCTGAAGTGTATTCCTCAAGAAGTCCCATGAGATTGTGTCATAATCTTTTGAAATATCCAGCTTTAGCATACAGCAAGGGGGTGATCTCTTTCTAGCATACCCTCTAACCAGGTGTTGTACCAAGAGAATGTTGTCCACAATGCTCCTGCCCTTAATAAAGGCAGCCTGGGCAGGATTAATGAGATTTGGAAGCAGTCCAGCCATTCTGTTAGAGAGGATTTTAGTGATTATTTTATAGACCACATTAGAACAGGCTATGGGTCTATAATCTTTTGGCACTAGGATTCTCCCTGACCTTAGGAATGAGGACAACCAAGGCATGATTAATATGTTTAAGGAGTCTCCCACTCAAAAAGAACTCAGAAACAGCATCAACAATAGTATCACCAACAGCATCAGGACCTGGAGCCTTATCATCACCAATGGTAAAGAGGGCTTCTTTAACTTCAGTTCTGTCCACATTCCTGACCAAGTCAATAGCATCCTGGTGTTGGATAAGGGGTCCCTCTTTAAACACATTCTAATCCACAGGGGTAATAGGGACTGTATTACCAAACATCTGATTGTAATACCCAATGAATTCCTCAACAATAGCCTCCAAAGAAGTAGTAGTAGTTCCTTGGGATGTTATCAAAATAGGGATGTAATTCAAAACACTTTGCTTCTTAACCATTGCATGGAAGAATTTGGTGCATTTATCCCCTTCATTAATAAAGTTGCACTTCACCTTTTGCTGAAAAAAGGATCTTTCTACATCAGAGTAGAATGAAGCTTTCTTCCTGGTAGTAGCAACTAGGTGGAGTAATTCCAAATTATCAGGGTCCTTGTATAACTTATCCATGAGTTCAGTATAAGTCTTTCTAGCCTCCTCAGCTCTGGAAGAGATATGTGCAAAGTCCTTTTTATTCAGCTGTTTGAGGGGCTGCTTCAGCAACTTCAGTTTTCTGCAGAGTCTAAACTGTCTAGTACCATTGAACCTCATATCCCATACATGTTTCAAAGTGTTGTCAAAGGAGTCTGGCGATTTTGGGCGATTCGGCGATCCAACATCGGAACACCAAAATTCGTCACTCTAATCCAGGTTTTGCGTTATCCTCAGTCTCGTTTACTCCTTTGCAGCTGATCTGGAAAGTTTTGTGGCTTCGTTTCAAGAATTGAGGGAGAACTGATGATTTTTTGAAGCAAAAACAGTTTTTACGAATTGTTTTGTGGCGTGCTTTTGTGTGGGTGTTCAGTGTCTTCTTTTTCATTTTACATCAATCTTCCTACGTATCTGGAGAGGTTCGCGGGTTATTTCCAGGTTTTTGGAGGTGCTCGACAATTTTTTGGACGAAAAACAGTTCTGCGACTGTTTTTTTGGGCTGCGTGGTTCCTAGTTGGCTCTCCTTGATTTTCTTTGGTTTTGCCTCTCCTGTTATTCTTTGCATCACCCCTGTACTCTGGTTTTGGTTCGTGGCTTCTTGGTGGTGGTGTTTCAGTTTTGGTCTTGCACACAAGGTGTTTGATGAAAATTCCCAATGAATAATCCTAAACCTGTTATGCATGGGGGACCTTCTAATCCTCCTTCAAAAGGTGTTGTGCTGTTTCAAGATAATGCTCATGAAAGGCCCTCTACTTCTTGGGCAGCAGAGGCTGCTACTGCCGAGGGTCCTTCTAAGGAAGCTTTTCCTTTGTTGCCCTCCAAGACACAACCAGTGACCACCAAGCCTCTTACGGTTTGGCATAAGGGAGGCCCTGGTGGAAATACTTTTGCTCAAGTTACTGCGCCAAAACAGCCTTTGCACTCGGTCATGTCCTTGGCCCCTATCCCAGCCCTTCCAGATCGAGACATCACTACACACAGAGGTACACGGTGCATTAGATTTTCTGATAAAGAAGTTGAAGCGTTGGCTTCCATTGATCGTTTCTTGTTGGTTGGAAAGTTCTCACATGGCCAACCTAAGTTGGAGTTTATCAAGAAACATTTTGCAGCTCATTTTATCCTGCGTGGTACTGTTATTATTGGATGAAGGAGCCCCAAACATATTTTTCTTAAGTTCTCAAATTCACAAGATGCTACCGATATGCTTCTCAAAGAACAAATCACTTTTGATGGTATTCATCCAATGCGGTTATTTAGATGGACTAAGGATTTTGATCTTGACACTGAAACATCCATAGCCCCGGTATGGGTTTTATTTCATGATTTGCCATATCATTATTTTAATGATAAAGCCCTTGCACTTTTATGCAAACCATTGGGAAATATCTTGGGGTGGATACTGCTACTTTGGAAGGAACTAAGCCGACTTATGCACGTGCTCGTATTGAAATGGATTTGCTCAAGCCATTGGTTTCTAAGGTCTTTGTTGGTACTTCTACGGAGATTGGCAAGGAAGATGAGGGCTTTTTTCAGTTGGTGGAGTATGAGAAAATCCCATTTTTTGTACTCATTGCCGTAGACAAGGCCACTCTTTTGAGAGGTGCAAGTTCTTGGAGGAATATAATGCGTTTGAGACTCGGAGTAAAGGAAAAGAACATGTTCAAGAGCCACGACAAAAACGAGATCATAGCAAGAGCCGTGTTCGGGAGGAACCTAAACGTGTGTACGTCGCCAAACAACCTCCCGTCGAACCCCAAAACNACATTTACGTAGCCGCACTTAGGGTTTGTGTGGCAAACTATTTTTTCCACATTTATAAGTGTGGCGAACAACAATTTTAAATCCCATGCAAAATTCTACCGTCTCCAACCATTGTTCTGACCCCATAAATCCCATGCAAACCCAAAACCCATGCACGTCTGCGTCCATAATACCCATGCAAATCCCTTCCCAAAACCCTCCCCATGAAACCCCTGCCACTCCCATGCAATTTCCCACCCCAGCAAAACCCCTGCCAAACCCAACTCAAAACCCCACCGAAAATCCCATGCAGAACTCTCCCATGCAACAGGCTCCAAGACCAAACCCCCCCTCCCTTCCTTTATTTCAATGCTCTCTCAAATCCCCTAGTCCTGCGAGAAACTTCATCTCCGAGGCCGTAGCTTCTTATAAGTCGGGGGCGCTATCCCAAGCTGCCCTCCTAAAAATCTTGCATGACGGCCCGACTTCTAAAGTGGTATCACCTGCACTTCCGCCGGAGGATCCCACGGGATATTCCTCAGAGCCTGAAGGAAAGGTTGGTTTCAAGGATTTAGAGGACGTGGAGAATGAAGGAAAAGCCAATGATGATAAGGTGCCTGACTCGGCCCCTCCTATTCCTCGTGCTATTGACCGTTACGGGGAGATTCATTTCTACCCGGTTGATGAGCAAGGTTATATTATCCCGGTTACTAAGCACGATGAGGATTATCGTTCTATGAAAGTATTGAAGACGCGTGCTTTGGAGCTCATTAGTAACAATTGGGAGGCAGATTTTAAGAAGGTGGATTACGCACACCACCCAGCGCTGAAAGAGGCCATGCGATGGGCTCGCCAGAAGATTTTAAAGAATCCCCCTGGATGATGATTTCTGGGGCCTTTGCTTTTCCTAGCCTTCGGGCCACATATTTTATTCCTCATGGACTTTTGTTCTCGCCTTTGGGCCTTTATTTTTTATCCTTTTTTTGGACTTCTCTACTTTAGCATATTCGCCTTCTTAATTTAATGGGTGAGTGGGAGACTTGTTCCCTTCCCCTTAGCTTTTATTTCATTTTACTTTGCTTATTGGGTGAGTTGGAGACTTGTTCCCTCCACCCCTATCTTTATTTATGCGAATAAAATTTCTTTTTCTAAAAAAAAAAGGAGTCATGATTAAGCCACATGTTGAAGAATTTAAAGGGTTTAGGGCCTTGGGTAGAAGTTTGGATGAGGTGCAGCAGAACAGGACAGTGGTCAGATTGGAACTCCATGGCCTTAAACTCAGCCCAACAATCCCACTAGAGAGCCTCCCATTCACAATTCACCATCACCCTGTCCAGCTTGGCCCATTTGTTGCCTTTGTTCCAAGTGAAGTGAGTACCAGTAGCCTTAGCATCAATCAGATCATTGTTGAGTCTAAACTGTAACAGATCAGTCATATCATAAGCATAGGTGTGACAGCTTAGTCTCTCACTGGAGTTCAGGACTTGAGTTAAAATCCCCCATAATTGCCCAGGGGGTCTTGATATTCACAGCAAGATCAGAGATTCTTTCCCAGAGTTGTCTTCTAACAGTTACATTGTATAGAGCAAAAACAAATGTAATCTGGAAGCATTTCTGGGAAACATTACACAAAATTCTACAATGGATAAACTGATCAGCAACATCCAAAACAGTGCAACTAACAAAAAGTGGGTTCCATATAACAGCCATTCTCCCATCATCAATCATAGCAAAATTATCAGTTGAAGACCAGGATGGGAGTTTGTTATGGAGAAAAAGTTTAAACTTGGCTTTAGACATTTTGGTTTCCAGAATACAACTTAAGTGAACGCCAAGGTCCAAAATATATTTACACAAAAAGTTTTGCTTAGAGGGCCTATTAAGCCCCCTAAAGTTCTAACAGAGTACCTTCATCAAGAGTTAGGGCCAGGACCCCTTCCCCTACCTCTGTTTGTACCCCCCCTATAACCATGGTTGTGTCCACGTCCACTGCTTCTAGTTTCCCTTATGAATTGTGGCTGTCTGTTAACATTGTTGAAGTTTGCTTCCTTTAGAGGATGTGTAGTGAGAGATCCTATGCCTTTTCCCACAAGTGTGAAACCATCATTGTCATCCTTTTTAGAGAAGGAGGGTGAGGGTTCATTGGGGTCAGCTGGTTTCTCCCCACCTTTAGTACTTTCCTGAACCTCCTTCCCTTTTTGGTTCTGTTTAGGCTTCTCCTTTTTAGTGTCATTATCAGCCAAGAGAGAAGATTTCATGACTTCAACTCTAGCTTTGTCCATTGCTCTTTGTTCCTCAGCATTTTTCTTTCTCTGCAGTTCATGGAGATCAAAGCAATCAAAGGGGATGTGTCCAAACTTCTCACAGTGGTAACAGTAGAGGGGCAGGTCTTCATATTCCACATATTGCATATAGCTGCCTCCCACAAAGTTGACCTTCACAGAAGAGGGGGGTGGTTTTGATAGATCGATGTGGATAAGCACCCTACAAAAGTTTGGCTTTTTATAAGCCAGTTTGTCATCAGGGTCCTCCTCCAAAGTAAATTTGGAGGCCACTTTGTTGGTAAGCCCATCAGTAAAGAGTGGTCTTTTGAAGCTATTTTGGACAAGGAATTAGGACCCCAGTATTGCATAGGCACATCCATGAGTTTAACCCAAACTGGCATGGTGGAGAAGGACTTAGCATTCCACATAAAGCCATCCTGTGGGATATTGAGGAGCAACTTCTTGTTGTTTATCCTATGGTCATCCTTGTGTAGCACTGAGTCCCTGTCCTCATTGGATAGGAATTTGAAGATCACCCAACCCTTATGGTGGGGAAGGAATTGACAGGGCACTTTTCAGGATTCAACCAAGGACTGAATGGGGGCCAGGCCAGGGAATCTGCCAGTGAAACACCCAACCAAGCAGGGTCCCCATAGCTCCTCCATTGGTGTTACATCTTCAGGCTGAATAAAAATCTCCTCATCTTCAGCCATGTCCACCTGGTGGAGTTTCATTCCTTTATCCTCTGATCTGTTTTTCTCAAACAATGATGCAAAACTCTTCTTCTCTGTTGGTGTATCAGTTTTTTCCCAGGGGCATTGCCATTAGTATTCCCAATTTCATTCCCGCTGTCCTCCTTTCCAATAGGTTCAGCATTAGGTACTGGAGTATCACCATTGTTGATGCCAGGCTTATCCTTCTACAGTTCTTGCTCAATCCTGTCCTCATCAAGAGAAGGAGTCTGGGATTCAGAACCATCATCATCTTCCACAGTCACATCACCAGTGTTGGTGCAAGGGGTGAAATCCTCCTCAGTCATGATCGGAATATTATCCACATCTTCACCACAATCCACATTGTCACCTCCAGACCCAGACTCACCCTCCATATCACGAAGAAAGTTACGCAACTCTTTCTTGTTTGGAGGAGTGGGAGGTGGGGGTCTACGCTCCTTCTTCTTGCTCTTCGCCATCTAAGAACAGCTCAAAACAAAGATAGGACCAGCCACACTTACCAGAAAACCATTGAGAAGCTTGTTGTAGAAGATGAACAGTTCCGCGAACCCTAGGTAGTCCGTTGACTCCCAAATCTTGAACAACGCAGCTGGAATTCAGGATGGATAGGCTCGCCTTGGAGTGTAGAAGACCAATCTGCAACCAAAGGTGGAGAAATCCAAGAGAGCACGCCGGAAAATGGACGGAAAGGAAAACAAACTTAGGAATTTACACTGTGTTTGTTTAGAGGTAGGGGAGGTAGATTTAATATTCTACCTTGTTTGGTAACAAAAATTGAGATATGTCAAGAGAGGTAGATGGAGGTAGAGGGCTGTAGGGTTACCTCTCAACATTATATTTTTGGAGACCGCCAATTTGGCGAAATATCGAGGTAATAAACTATTTTCGGCTGCTACCCACTCTTTCGTTCAGAAAATCGATCGTCATCTCCTATGGATCGTCATCCAATCGCAGGTAATTTCTGTTCTTCCCCTTCCCCTCTGTTTTCGTTTGTTACTTCGTTTCTTCTACTCTCATTGTTTTGCGACACCCCTTTTTTGCCGCACCAATGGTCATCCAATTGTACGTAACTAGTATTCTTACCCGTGCCATGCACGGGGTCGAAAGAAATTTATGTTGATTATGAATTATTTCAATGAAATTTATTTTTCAGAATAAAGAAAATATATTTCTCACATGATTTTTAATACTACCAATGAAAAAAGCCAAAGTAAAATAAATAATATTTGAGAAATAGAATGTTGAGTTAATAATGTTTATTTTAATACCAAATTTTCTGAAAGACTTCAGGGTATACAACATTTGTGGTATGGTTGCAAGGGTTTCCATTGTCATCTAAACTAATATTTTTAATCATGTCTTTGTCTTCACTCGGGAAATAGCAAAATATAGTTGACCATGTGTGAACACTAACTTGGTTAAAAATAATCCCACAAATGATAATGTTTGACCTTGAATTTTGTTGATAGTCATAGTAAAACATGAGGCAATTGCGAATTGTCTTCTTTGAAACTTCAAGGGTAGCCCTAGATCAGATGGTACCAAATTCATTCTAGATATGTAAACCTTTTCCCCGACTCGATTTCCCGAAACCACAATTGCACCAATAAAATTATTTCGCAGCTCTTGAACGATTAATATTATCCATTAATAACATACCTAGAAAAATCAACAATTATACATTTTAATTATCCATGAATTCTATAAAACCTATGAATGACGTTAAATTATTTACGAATGCATATTATAATTGATAAAATAACATGACTATAATTAAAAAAAGTACACATATTTTTATCTTTTCTTGGAGTGTTAATTTTCACATGGAGAATTTGTTAAATCCTTCTAAAATTGACATCTAATTTTCAATTTTGTATAAAACTTTATTTTTATAACATAATTTAATTTATCTATACTAACGATTTAAATATGAAGATAAGAAAATTTTTCAATGCTCATTAAAAAGCAACCATATAAATTTTAAATACAAAAATTCTGGTCACTAAAATATCCCGTTTGATTTTGTTATTTTAAATAATTCAAAATTACCTTAAAACAATAAAACAAAATTAAATATATTAAGATAAAAAAAATATTTAAAGTACGTACCTTTTTTATCCTTTTTTGTTGAAGTATTCATTTTCTTCTTTCTCTTGCATCTCTAGCCGATCTTGTCCATGTATCGTCAACTTGATTTTCCATAGCTCCGATTGAAATTGAAAAATATGATGCTCCTACCACCAATCCTTTTAAAAACAAAAGGCTGAAGTTGAATTAAGGATTCTTCACTTATTTATTGCAAAATTAATTATAAATGCCTATGTATTGAAATGGAAAATGAAAATGGGTGGTGGATGTCACATTCCAACTCGTTATATATCTCTTTTTATAATAGGATTTTGACCTAAGTATATAAGAGTTTCCATAAATTTGGATATAAAAGTGAGCAATTTAACTCATTGCTAGTTAGATATATAAGTAAGGAATTCAAAATAATATTGGGTCCATCCTAGATATAACGAAATCCTTACTAAAAATAATCCAGAATAATATTATTGATTATCCAAGATACATAATTAATGATTGTCATATATAACTAAAGGGATCCAAAATAATATTAGTATTATCCAACATAAAGAATTTAAGTAAGGTGATGAATAATATACTCGTGATCATAATTTTCAAATTTAGTACTATTTAGGATTGTTTCTTAATAATATTTTTTGTAAATTTTGTCAATCACCATATGTTAAGGAAATAATCTATTCTTGGAAATCATATCATACCATTCATGGCTATGCATGAATCATTTTCTAACGCATGGCCCGATTAGGATAGTTTCACATTTAATTATTTACTTACCTTTTGTATTTTAGGAAGGACCTTATTATGGTGAGAATTCCTTGGTAAAGAATAAATATATGTAGCATGGTCCTAAAATTCTATTTAAATTAATTAAAAATATTATATTTTTTTATTTTTAAATAGTATTTATATTTCCTCATATTTATTTTAAGTTTTTTATATTATCATCGTAATTTGAGTTCGTATTGTTGTAATATGAATACATATATTTACATATAATATTATTGATTATCCAAGATACATAATTAAGGATTGCCATATATAAGTAAAGTGATGCAAAAATAATATTAATATTATCCAACATACATAGTATAAGTAAGGTGATGAATAATATACTCGTGATCATAAATTTCAAATTTAGTATTATTTAAAATTGTTTCTTAATAATATTTTTTCGTAAATTTTGTCAATCACCATATGTTAAGGATAGAATCTATTCCTGGAAATCATATCATACCATTCATGGCTATGCATTAATAATTTTCTAACGCACGGCTCTATTAGAAGAGTTTCACATTTAATTATTTACTTACTTTTTGTATTTTAGGAAGGACTTTATTATGGTGAGAATTCCTTGTTACTTAGAGAGTTTCACGTTCCTTGGAATTTTTATTAGTATAGGTACTCTATTGATTTCAACCTATATATACACAAATTTCGATTAATAAACCTTTGTTACTTATTAATTTAAGTATGAAATTTATAAATATGGAAGCAATATAAAGGATTAATATATGTAGCATGGTTCTAAAATTCTATTTAAGTTAAATGAAAATTGTTATTTTCTTTTTTATTTTTTAAATAGTATTTATATTTTTTTGAATTTATTTTTAGTTGTTTATATTATCCTCGTAATAGGAGTTCGTATTGTTGTAATCAGAAAACATATATTAACATATAATATTATTGATGATCCAAGACACATAATGAAGGATTTCCATATATAAGTAAACGGATCCATGCATCCTGTCAAAAAAAAATGGATCCATAATAATATTAGTATTATCCAAAATACATAATATAAGTAAGGTGATGAATAATATACTCGTGATCATCAGCTTCAAATTTAGTATTATTTAGGAATGTTTCTTAATAATAATTTTTGTAAAAAATAATATTCTAATTTCCATTAATATATGTAATCTATTGATTTTAACTCTTACTCCCTCCGTTTCTTAAAACCCTTCCTCTTTCATTTTTTTTGTTTTTCTTAAAACACTTCCCTTTTCTATTAAAAAACCACTTTTACCCCTACTTTTTCATACCCTACCTATCACATCATACTTTTTCACTAACAAATAAACTATCACATCTTACTTTTACCCATCACATCAAGGGCAAAATTGGAAAGTCAACTATAATTTAACACTTCCTTATTTTCCCCCAAAGTCAAAAGAGGAACTCTTTTGAGAAACGGAGGGAGTATTATACACGAATTTCCATTGATGGGTAATAACCCATGGATACCACCCAGTTGGTCTGCCCGACTGGGTGGTAACGAAAGTGACAGCGCGCGACCTTTTCAACCCGGGGTGTTTGCCCGGTTGGATGGGTAGGCCGGGCACCAGCACTGAAGATTCTATTCTCGAAGTGCGACTAGGGAACCGGTCAGAAGACTGACCGGTTGGATAATCAGAGACGTGCTTGACGTGCTTAGGATTATTATAAATACCCCTAAAAGCCTCATTTGTGAGGCATGCTTTAATTAATCCACACGGCCTGTACTGTTGTAATAGTCCCTAATATCATTAATAACAAGCTGGGTTACAGGTGTTTCCACCTACAACCCTTCCGATTATTTATACTTAGCATTTGTGTGGTAATTTACATATAGCTCCCATTTGCTTCACTAGGCATAGGGATTGGGCACAAAATGAATCACACTACCACTTTGCACCTAACACTCAAGGACCCAAAAAGAATTGGGTACCTAAATCTTATTAAATCATTTTTGTAGGTGTGCTTGAAGGCGTCAAGTGTACTTTGGTACCTTGATAGCGGATGCTCCAAGCACATGACCAGAGATGCATCCAAGTTCCTACAAATCAAACCCGCTAAAGGAGGAAACGTAGTCTTTGGAGATAATAGCAAGGGAAAAATTATTGGCGTCGACTCAGTAGGTAAGTCCGAAGACTCCTCTATAGATAATGTCTTGCTTGTTAAAAGTCTTAAACACAATCTCTTGAGCATAAGTCAATTATGTGACAAGGGAAACCGTGTGACCTTCGATTCAAAATCATGCGCGGTAGAACGCCTTAGTAACAATAAGGTCATTCTACGTGGTGATAGAATCGATAACATATATATGGTTAACTTAGACAAATTTCCTTCCGGCTTTGCTAAGTGCCTCATGAGTAAAGAGGAAGACACTTGGTTATGGCACCGAAGGGTAGCTCATATGAACATGAACCTTTTGAACAAATTGGTTTCACAAGACTTAGTAATTGGCATTCCAAAACATAAGTTTGAAAAAGACACCATATGTGATGCATGTCAAAAGGGGAAGCAAGTTCGGGCTTCGTTTAGGTCTAAGAACGTTGTTTCAACGTCTAGACCGCTTCAACTCTTGCACATGGACCTCTTTGGTCCTTCTAGAACAAAAAGTTTTGGTGGTAATTACTTTGCGTTTGTGATTGTCAATGACTACTCTAGGTTTACATGGACCTTGTTTCTAACTCACAAAAGTGAGGCATTTCACGTTTTCAAAAATTTTCTAAAGAAAGTTCAAAATGAAAAAGAAACAACCATAGTAGCCATAAGAAGCGACCATGGGGGAGAGTTCGAACGAAATCTATTCTCAGATTTATGTGACGAACTCGGCATTGGTCATAATTTCTCAGCCCCACGTACACCACAACAAAATGGAGTGGTGGAACGTAAAAATAGATGTCTCGAAGAGATGGCTAGAACTATGATCAATGAGGCAAAAATCCCTAAGTATTTTTGGGCGGATGCCGTGAGTACCGCGAGCTACGTGTTAAACCGAGCCGTCATTCGACCAATACTCATGAAAACGCCTTATGAACTATACAAAGGGAGAAAGCCAAACCTTTCCCATCTTCGAGTCTTTGGTTGCAAATGTTTTATTCATAACAATGGCAAAGATAACTTAGGCAAATTTGATGCCAAGTCGGATGAAGGAATTTTTCTGGGTTATTCACTTCGTAGCAAGGCCTATAAAGTCTTTAATAAACGAACCTTGACTATTGAGGAGTCCCCTCACGTTGTATTTTCCGAAGATAATCCTCGCTTGGCGAGAAGGGATATTTGTGATGATCTTGCAGATTCACTAGAGAGGATACACATCGAAGACGATGAAGAGAACACGGGAATATACACCAACACGCAGCCGCAAATTGGGGAGATGCCTCAAGCGACTAACCAAGGTGAAGAAGAAAATCAAGAGGAAGAAGAAGAACAAGAGGAACACGAAGAAGAAGCAACCGAGCTTCCCATTGCATGGAGAACGAACAAGAACCATCCGCTTGACCAGGTAATCGGTAGCATCAACCGCGGGGTAAGTACTCGGAACTCACTTAGGCACACCGTAGGACACATGGCTTTTGTTTCTCAAATTGAACCTACAACCATTTCCGAAGCAATAAACGATGAACATTGGACCTTGGCTATGCAAGAGGAGCTAAACCAATTCAAACGAAATGACGTTTGGGAATTGGTGCCAAGGCCCGATGATCGTACGATTATTGGTACGAAATGGGTGTTCCGTAACAAATTTGATGAAAATGGAATAATCACTAGAAACAAAGCTAGGCTCGTAGCTAAAGGCTACAATCAAGAAGAAGGCATTGATTTCGAAGAAACTTATGCACTCGTAGCACGTTTAGAAGCTATTCGATTACTTCTTGCTTTTGCTTCGTCTATGGATTTTAAACTCTATCAAATGGATGTTAAGAGTGCCTTCCTCAATGGTTTTATTCAAGAGGAAGTGTATGTTGACCAGCCCCCGGGGTTTGAAGACTTTGAGTTTCCCAACCATGTCTTCAAACTCAAGAAAGCGCTCT